TCTTCCAAAAAAAAAAAAAAAAAAAAAAAAAAAAAAAAAACCTCTTTTGAGCCGCAATGGCACCCACAGGGAAGCTCCCCACATCCAGGCTAGGAGACATCCGGGCCTGCCCAGTCAGGGCGGAGTGGGGCACACAGGCAATGTGTGTTGTGCTTGGGAACAACTAATCCCTGGGTGACAGAGGGCGGGCGGCCTGGCAGCTGCTACTCCACGTGGGTGCCGCGGGCTGCTTTGGGCCGGCAGAGTTGGCTCCAGGGTGGCCTCGCCCCGCCTCAGCTCTCAGCAGGGGACCAGGCAGCTGAGAGGCTGTGCAACCACACCCTGAGCACCAGCTGGAGACCAGCCGCCCCAGCCGCCCACCGAGAGGGGCCTGGTGGGCAAGGACAGGGAGGAGCCATGAGCACCCACTGGGGGCCCTGGCAGCTCGCACACAGTAGGTGCTTTCTGTTTACAAGCTGGGAAGGTGGGAGACAATAATAGCCTATTTGTAGAAGGGGAAATAGCCTCAGAGAGGTGCAGGGATTTGCGCATACACACAGAGAGCTGGTAGGAGCAGTAGGACCTGAATCCAGACCCTCTTACTCCAGAAGGAGCTGGCTAGCAAGGTCCCTAGGTTCCCCAGCAGAGGTCAGCTCCTCCTCCCTTTCTCCTTTCCAGGTGCTGGACTCCTTGGCACATTCGGGGCAGGTGAGTCACAGGAAGGAGGACAGGCAGGGCCAGAGCTGCTCATGTTGAAGGGCAGCTGTGGGACTGTGGGAAAAGGCCAGATGTCCACAGAGGGGCTGCCCATCCCCCACTCTGCCCAGCCTCTCCTTGCTTCCTGTTTCTCCCATCTTCTCTTCCCAGTCTCTCTGTGGACAGGAAAGGTCTGAATGTGTTCCCTGCCCTCTCAGAGTTCAGGAAACAGGCTGACTCAGGAGACGCCACTGACAGGGCTAGAAGGGGCCGGTCCAGTGCAAGGTAGTGGACCTGGGCGGGCCCAGTCCTATCATATCATTCCTGCACTGGAGTTAGAGAGCCATCTCCCAGAGGGGCCAGCTGAGTTCAGATGGGTCCAGGTCACACAAGCAGGAAATGAGCAGGGTGGGGTGGTCAGGAAGGAGACCACGCCCAGTGAGAATCAGGTGGACCCTTCCAGGGCTCGGTGAACCCCAGGTCAAGGTATCAGAGAGGGCTCACCCGGGGCTTGGGGTCCTGGAGGCCAGGATTGGTGCTTGCAGGAGAGATTCTCACATGATTAGAATCAACCCGGCATGGTTATAAACACCAATCTGATGGCCCATTGGTCAGGCCACGGCCGTGGAATGTCTCCTGGTTGTGGGGGAGGGACGATTGGGCCCAGATGTGGGAAGCAGAGAGCCAGAGGGACCCATTTGGCTTCCCAGAAACATTTAGGCAAACAGACTCCTGACTGCAGGGCAGGCTGGATGGGAGGACACACAGATGGTGGGGGACAGAAGGGACTCCCAGACACAGGTGAAGGGGAGAGGGCTGAGTCAGGGGACACCTATACAGACGCAGAAGAGAAACCCCTGCAGGAGTGGGGACTGACGGTGGGAGCAGGGCACGGCCTCGCCGGGGTTTGGTCTTGTCCACACTCTGCACAGCATCAGCCCTTGCAGAATGCCCTGCTGGATCCGCTAGCTGGCAGGCCTTCTAGAAACACCAGTCTGGCCTGGGTTGTCATGGAGCATGAGTGCAATCTTGTCCACGCAGCACATAGACGCTGGTCACTAAGTGACAACTGCTATTTTATTAAGATTGGCCCCTGTGTACAAAAGATTCAATGACTGAGGGCCTAGGGCCAGCTTAGGGGCCTGAGGGGTTGCATGTCACTCACAGCACTGCCAGATTCCTGTCCCCATGCCAAGACTCCCTTCTTGCCCTGTGCCCAGGGATACCCATACCCGGCCCCTCCTCATGTGTCTCTGTCTCTTCCCTGCAGGTCCTGGAGGGCTTGCAGGTGGTGGCCTTGGTGCAGGTTAGTGTTGACACCTAGTTCAGATGCCTCTCTGGGGACTAGTCCCTGAGCCAAGCCAAGGGCATCTGCCTGGTATAGAGGGCCATCAGGACGCAGGAGTACAGGCCAGGCTCCCCCTGGGCCCCAGTGGGGGATGGTGCTGATACCACTGCCCCAAGTAGCTGCCTGGGGCCTGAGGGAGTCATAGGGACCTGGATGGAGGACTGGACAGAGGAAGTTCCGGGGCTCTTGGGAGCCCAGAGATGTTGCTCAACTTAGAGGGGGCTCAGAATGGCATTCTGGAGAACATGGGTATGAAATTCAACCCCAAAAGACTCATGCAGTTTAGTCTGGTGAGGAGAACTGCCTGGCACATTAATCTCCAGCACAGAATCCAGTCCTGGCGAGCAGCAGTCTCTGCTTGGCGTTGAAATCCTGCAGAGAGCAGGAAAGCCTTGAGTTTGCTCACCGAGTGAGGCTGGACCAGACGGGACTGGGGCTTAGGAGCCTCCATGAATGTGGTGGCCAAGGATCTCCCCATCCTCCCCTTGGCAGGCCTCGGAGCCTTCCCTGCTGGCACCTTTCCGGGGGCTCTGGTGCCTGGTGGAGCTGGCACTGCTGCAGCCTATAAAGCAGCCAAGGCTGGTGAGTGGTACTCCTTGGAACATGCCATAAGCCTTCAGGACCCCTCTTTGCCCCTTCAGGAGCTCAGTTCTCTGGGGTGGGGGTGCTCCCTGGGATTCCCACTGGAATAGGAGTCAAGCCCAAAGGGCTCCATGGGCTCTTCACTTTCCAAAGAACCTTCCCTCACTGCAGTGCTGGGAAGCAGGGGTGTAGGATCCTCTTCTCCAATGCTCTGAGGCTCGGGGAGGCAGCAAAGTGAATCGGTGGCAGGTCAGACCTCACGCTGGGCCCTCAATGTGCCATCTGTTCTTCTCCCCACTGTTTCTTGCACCATCCTTCACCTCGCTCCCTCCTGGCTCTGCAGGTGCTGGGCTCGGGGCTGGTGGAGTCGGCGGTGTTGGTGGAGTTGGAGGCTTGGGAGTGTCTACAGGTATGGTGGCTAGACCGGAGCACGCCGGGCATAGGCTGCAGGCCCACTGGAGTCAACTCTGATGTGGCCCCTCTCGTGTCAGGTGCGGTGGTGCCTCAGCCCGGAGCTGGAGTTGGAGTTGGAGCTGGAGCAAAACCTGGGAAAGTGCCTGGTCAGTATGGACTCCCTGGGGGGCAGAGGTCAGAGTGGACAGAGGCCCACCCTGGAGGAGGAAAGGCAGGGTCTGCTTGCAGCTGGGCCAGCACCTGTGTCTGCAAAATGGGGCCTAGGGGCCTGTCTGGACTTTGCTCCCAGAATCTTGGAGCAGAAGGAGACCTCAGAGACAGGCTCTGTGACAGCTATGGGGTGATGGATAGGGAAACTGAGACTCAGGATGGAGAGCCAGTGTGGAAATGCCCCAGCTCACCATGGCAGAGCTGGGGTGAGTCTGGTGTCCACTGACTCTTTGGTGCTTGTCCAAGCCCTTCGGAAGTGACTTCAGGTTAAAACAAAAGGCTGCCTGAGTCCACACAGCAGGGTGGGGACATCTGGAAGTTGTTAGCCAGAGGTGGGCTGGCTGGGTCTCGTAAACAGGCTCCAGGAGACAGAGATAAATCCACGCACAGAAGGATTTGCAGATGACTTCCGAAACTCGTGGGAGGAGGGCCGCGGCCACCCCACGTCAGTCCTGGCTGCCCCGACAGGCACAGGCGCTGTGCGTGGGAGCCCTAGAGCTGCCTGGGGGGATGTGGGGGGCCCCTGAGCCGAGCTCATGGCTCCGCCTTCTTTTGTCCACAGGTGTGGGGCTCCCAGGTGTATACCCAGGTGGAGTGCTCCCAGGCACAGGTGAGGACAAAAAGAAGGGGGAACCTATTGGAAAAAAATCAGCCTCTGCCAGCCTCCCTGGTGTTCCTTCACCTCCACTCTAAGCAGAGGCCCCCAGAGTCCTTGGGTCCTGACCAGTACAGTTACAGTTAAGATCCTTGGCATCCCCTCCCACCCTCACCAGCCAAAGGTCAGTCAGCTTCCCCAGCCCCACTTAAGGCCTGACCCAAGGCCATTATCACAGCCTGAGGCAGCCCCCAACGGCAGACTGAGTCCCCAGGGTGGCCAACTGTTTCCCAAGTGCTGTGAGTCACCAGAGGGCCCGCCTAACAGGCCCCTGCTGCAGGAGACCTCGAAGAGCCGCCCCTTCACCCTCCTTCCCCTGCCAAGGCCTGACCACCTCACCCAGCTGTGACCTCTGAATTCCCCCAAAAGCCCAGACTCAGGCTGTGCTGTGGGATGTGCTGGCAGAGTGGCTGTCCCTCTCCCCACTCCCTGGGAGCGGGGGTGGGGGTGGGGACTCAGGCCATGGGTGTCCCCACAACTGGATGGCTGCTTTGCGGGCGGGGTTTCAGGCGGGCATCAAGGCAGAGCCCAGCGGGGACAGCATGCCTGTCTGCAGTGTCCCTCCACTGCCTCTTGCCCCCCACCTTCCTTGTCGAGGGGGCTTTTGTGATTAAACTCCAGTTTAGAGCCCGAGGCTGAGCTCATGTGGCTGAGAAACTCCCTTTTCCTGCTGTTGGGCCAGGCAGGAAAGGAAAGTCACCAGCAAGAGGGGCCCCGCCCCCGGCCTTGCCTGTCCCTGACAGTGCTAAAGAGATGGGGGCTGGGGGTGACCCAGGCCTGTGAGGTCCAACTTCACACCCTCACTGCGAACCCCCCTTTGCCCCCTCAGGAGTTCGGTTCCCTGGTGTCGGAGTGCTTCCTGGGGTTCCCACTGGAACAGGAGTTAAGCCCAAAGCTCCAGGTATGTAGCCGGCAGCCTGGGGTCATGGTAGACTCCCTTCACCCCTAGGCCCCTCTTGTCTTGGATGTGGAATGAGTATGGGGGTCCTGGGCTTGTCGGGGTCATCGGGGTGGGCACCTCTGTCTCCGGGCCTGGTAAGCCGGCCGAAATGGGCTGCACCCTGCTCAGAAATCCCTGAGTGTGAGGGCAGCATGAGCTGGGGGCAGGGCAGAAAAGGCTACTGCTGGGCCTGCCCACGCCTCAGTGCTGCCCGGCACTGGCCAGTGGCACCTCTGTGCTCCGCACCTGTGGCACCAGGGCTGCAGTGACAGCTTTGTCTTTACAGGTGGAGGTGGAGCCTTTGCAGGAATCCCAGGTGAGGCAAGCCTTGTCCTCAGGGTGGGGCTCTTACTTTTGGAGGGGCTGGGCTCCCGGAATCCCATCCACGCTGCCCAATTCCCCTCATGCCTACCGCCCCAGCCCTGGGACTGGCTTCAGCATAGCTGCCCAAAAGAGTCCCTCAAACCCCTGAGTCTAGGCCAGGGGCAGCAGGCCTGAACTAGGGCCACATCCCCAAGAGGAGTCCTGCAGCTTCCTTAAGGAAGTGGCCTGTCCCTAGGGGTGCTCAGCTGACCCTCGATGGAGAAGCAGGGAGGGTCTCTGGGCAGGATGTTGTTTGGGCGCAGTGGCGAGTTCACCCTGAGCTGAAAGTGGTGCAGGAGGCAGAGGGTTAAGAACAGCTGTGGGTCCAAGGAGCCAGGACCCGATGTGGCTCTCCCTGTTCCCACAGGGGTTGGGCCTTTTGGGGGTCAGCAGCCTGGAGTTCCGCTAGGGTACCCCATCAAGGCACCCAAGCTGCCAGGTAAGTCAGCAGAAGAATTCAGGAGTCATGTCGGGAAACCTGGTATTGAGGCCCACTCATGGTCACCAGCCAAGAGAGGCCTGGGGTCATCAGTCCGTAGGTGTGGGGCTCACTTGCGTGCGCACACTCAGCACATGCGTGCACTCCACTGAGAAGGGAGCCCTGCTAGGAAAACATTTGTGTTGGTGGTAAGAAACCACCATCGGAAAGACCCCTGTGACGTCAGTCCACCCACATCGCCATCCCACCTCCACAAGCAGCAGACGAGAGGCTTCCCACTGCAGCAGATGGGGCATGGACTAGGGCGATACTCAGACTCCAGGGTTCGGGCCTGGACTTGTAGGGTGGGTGCCTCATCAAGTCCTGTTCAGGGCTGTCCTCTTCCTCCTCCACCCAGGGACTCTGCTCTCCCGAGATCAGAACCTGGGGGTGGGGGAGGGCTCAGGCCTCAGCACCAATGGGGACAACTCTGCCCACCAGGCAGGCCAGAGCCCAGCAAGCCATGGGGCTGTGTGTGGCCCAGCCCCTGAGCCCGCCCCTCCTTCTCCTCAGGTGGCTATGGCCTGCCCTACAGCACCGGGAAACTGCCCTATGGTGAGTGAGACCTTCCTAGACTTCCTGGACTCCTAGACTGGGTTTCCAGCTCTTCCCAACACCAGGGCTCTGGCAAAGGGGGCTCTGGCACAGCCCTGGGCTAGGGCAGCACCTACGGGGAGGAGAGGTACAGTCTTGGGATGGGTTCCTCGAAGGAATGGACTCGGCCTGGTTCTCAATCCTGGGCCTCCACTTACCATGAGGCCTTGGACAAGCCATTTTTCTCGGAGCCTCAGTGCCCTCATCTGTGGAACGGGAGTAACAATCCCACGCCTGTTAGTGGTTGGGGGTGACAGGGTGGAGAATCAGGGCGGCCTGACCCCTAAAGGACAGGCCAGGGGCAGACAGCTGTGGTCTGAGGGATGGCCACTGAGTCTCTCCTTTTTGCAGGCTATGGGCCTGGAGGAGTAGCCGGTGCAGGTGGCAAGGCTGGCTACCCGACAGGGACAGGTAAGGAAAGCCTCAGCCCAGTTCCAGCCAGGGCCACTTTCCCTCAGACCCTAGGGCCCTGGGCAGGGAGCAGGCGAGCCCGCTTTACATCCAGCCCCTGTCTGCGCCAGGAGAAGGATCCTGGGTAGGGGCAGCTCTGCCTGGCGCTGCCTACTGGGAAGCCCTGACTCACCCCATCGGTTAACGGGCCTGTTCTCTGGGCACTGGGAACAGGAGGGCTCTGGAGATGCAGGAGCACCAGTTCCAGTCTCTCCCCCTCCCTTCCCTCTCCCCCAGGGGTTGGTTCCCAGGCTGCAGCAGCGGCAGCTAAAGCAGCAAAATATGGTGAGTACTTCCGGAGACCCCACTGCCAGTCCAGCTCCAAGCGCCCCATCCCTGTGACTACTGAAAGCCTGTCTCAGGGATGACTCACCTAGCCTCTACCCACCACCTGCTCCCCATTTAGCCAACATTTCAACATCACCCCCCCTTCCACCCCTTTCTCCATCCCTCCGTCCATCCCTCCCTCTCTATCCCGCTCTCCCCCTTCTTCCATCTGTTAACCCCTCCATCCATTTATCCTTCTACCCTCCCTCCTGACCCACCCCTTCATCCTTCCACGCATCCTTACAGCCTTCTCTCCATCCACCCCTTCCTCCCTCCATCCATTCATTCTGCTTTCCTCCTCCCTTCATCATTTTCTAATTTGCACTCGCCAAAGGGGGGGGGTGGGGGAGAGAAAGAAGGAGGAAGCATCTCCTATGGGGGATAGTCACACCACAATCCCTTCATTTCTTACTCCTTTCTGGATTTGGGGCATGCACGCACACATGCCTGGCATGTTTCTCAAGGCGCTGGGTCCAGGACTTGAACTGTGCAGTCAGCCATGTGGGATCCAGCTGTCTTCACCACCACCCCACCAGCTGGCCCCCTTTATCTTATCTTCCCTTCTATCATTCAATCATTTATCCATCCATCCTCCCATCCTTCCATCTCTCCATCCATCTATTCCTCCATCCCTCCCTCGATCTATGTATCCTCCCTCCATTTCTTCCACCCCCTCAAATAACCTTCCCATCCCTCTGTCCACCCATTAATCCATCCCTCCCCCCTCCCCCTCCCTCCATTGCTCCTGTCCTCCATCCGCCC